AAAATATTTAAACTCTACAAAAATTAAAATTATTATTAATATTTTAACTCTACAAATATTTAAAATATAATAATATTGTACATAAATATGATTGAACGGGTTTTAGTTTACATAAATATTATTATATTTTCTGCGGGTTGTCTATATTTAAAATTTTTTACCGGTTAAGTTAAAATATAATTTTTTCTTTACAACAAAATCGTGTCGCGATGTACCGCGAGTTTACCACATATATCTATGAATTTACTTATAATACAAATTTATAAAATTGTATTAAATTAAATGAAATAAACATATAAAAAACTAAATTATATAAACCAACTACGAAAATGAACAACCAAAGATATATATTAAATTATGGACCCGTGGTGTACCACGGGGTAAATCCTAATTACCAATTAAAAAAATAGAAAAATCAATCGTGAAAAAAGGCAGAACCGTCCGATTAAAGTATCTGATGAATCAACGGTCAATACGTTTAATTATAGCCGTTATTGAAACGCGTTATATCAAGACGCAACGATATATACTGAAGCAATATCACTTTTTTTTTTGTTACGAAACAAAATTTTCCTTTTTTTTTTTTTTCTTCTCTCGCTCTTCTGGTGTTTCGAATGAAGAATGCATCGACGATGGTTGAGGAGATTGATATAAAATAATCTGAAGATTTGGTATGTACTTTCAACTTCTCTGTATCACGATTATATAAGTTTTTGTGTAATCGTTCTTATATATGTTTGTATTGTTCTAGGGTTTTGATTTTGAGTTGATTTGATTCAGGCACGAAACTGTTACAATCTCTTGGGGTTCTTCTTCCTCGTGGTGATCTGGTTAGGTTTCTTCCTCCGATCCTCTTCGTGTTTTCTATTTTTATTTTAGGGTTTTCAGAATTGACTAATTGTTCTTGTTATGGTACAGATCTAGGGTTTTTGAGGCACAGAGTCGACGGCTTGGTTTTTTCTTCTTCTTCCTCGTCGGTGTTGATTGGTTAGTTTTCTTCATCTTTATCCTCTTCTTGTTTCTACATCTGATCCTTGTCTGATACTAATTTGTTCTGTAATTAAACTTTGTTACAGGAATCGAGTCTAACCCATGAATCTTGGCGACGAGGTATGTCTCTGCCTTACCCGTTTTTTTTCATGTGCTTTGGTTTTGTATTTTGTGTGTTCTCTGCCTTACAATTGATCAGTCCATTAATGATCTTATTTAAGAATTTGACTTCTGTATAATTGTGATTTTGGAATCAAGATTCTTGTTTTTGTGCGTTCTTGATCCAACAACAAAAAAGAATTATTCACTTTATAAGATTCCAGATCTATTGTTAGTTTTCTACATCTGGATCCTTTTCGTGTTTCTTTATCTAATCGTTGTCTCAATACTAACTGTTCTGTACTTCAACTATGTTTTCAGGGAGATTCTGTTTCAGTCTAACCCATGAAGCTTGTCTCAGCAGCTTAGACAAGGTATTTCTCTGCGTTTTACATGTTTTACTTTTTCTTTCTATGGTTTGGTTTTGTTTTTTGTGGTTTTGGTTTTTGTTTTATGATCAGATTTTTCTGTTTTTGATTTTTGTTTTGTTTTCTTGATCCAACAACAAAAAGGAATTATTCCCTTTAATAAGAATCCATCTGTTTTTTTGTTTTGATGACTTGGTGTATGGATTCTTATGTTGGAGCTTTTAGTTTTTTTTTTTCCGTTTTTTTTTTCTTTCAAAACCCAAAAAAGATCACAGGCAGACACTTATGTAATAGTGTTCTGTCAGATTCTATTTTGGGGACATTGTCCCAAGGGAAATTGTGAACTGTGGGCTTGGTAGTGCATGCTTGTTGCAAGTTGGAAAAGAGGTTCGATTTGTCCCAAGAGGTATATGAACTGTGGGTTTGGTAGTGCATGCTTGTTGCCAAATGGAAAAGAGGTTTCGGTTTGTTGGATGATCTCATGGCTTATAAGTCAAAAGGCAAAAAAAAGAACAAAAGAGTTCTCACGGTTTGGTACCCTCGGCTTGAAAATATAAAGAGTCAAATGACATTGAATAAGAATGACCTGCGGGTTAATAAGTCTTAAGACAAAAGACGTAAAACAATTATGGGATTGGTGGTGCATGCATATTACGAGTTGGACAAGAGGTTTTGATTTGTTGGATGATCACAAGCCTTAACAAGTTTGGTACCCTCGGCTTTGAAAGTCAAAAGACAAAAGAATGGGAATGAGATTTAAAACATAGAACATGAAAGAACCAAAAGACAAAACATTTATGGGCTTGGTAGTGCATGCATGTTGCGATTTAAGACATAAGACATAAGAATGTGAACCAAAGAGTTCTCAAGTTTGGTACCCTCGGCTTTGGAAGAAAAGAGAATGGGAATGAGATTTAAGACATAAGACATGAAAGAACCAAAAAACATGAGAGAGCAAAAGTCATAAGAATGGGAATGAGATATAAGACATAAACATGAAAGAACCAAAAGACATGAAAGAACCAAAGAGTTCTCAAGTTTGGTACCCTCGGCTTTGGAAGAAAAAAGAATGGGAAGGAGATTTAAGACATAAGACATAAAAGAAACAAAAGACATGAGAGAGCAAAAGACATAAAACATTTATGGGCTTGGTAGTGCATGCATGTTGCGATTTAAGATATAAGACATAAACATGAAAGAACCAAAAGACATGAAAGAACCAAAGAGTTCTCAACTTTGGTACCCTCGGCTTTGGAAGAAAAAAGAATGGGAATGAGATTTAAGACATAAGACATGAGAGAACCAAAAGACATAAAACATTTATGGGCTTGGTAGTGCATGCATGTTGCGATTTAAGACATAAGACATAAGAATGGGAATGAGATATAAGACATAAACATGAAAGAACCAAAAGACATGAAAGAACCGAAAGACATGAAAGAACCAAAGAGTTCTCAAGTTTGGTACCCTCGGCTTTGGAAAAAAAAAGAATGGGAATGAGATTTAAGACATAAGACATGAGAGAACCAAAAGACATGAAAGAACAAAAGACATGAGAGGGCAAAAGACATAAAACATTTATGGGCTTGGTAGTGCATGCATGTTGCGATTTAAGACATAATACATAAGAATGGGAATGAGATAGAAGACATAAACATGAAAGAACCAAAAGACATGAAAGAACCGAAAGACATGAAAGAACCAAAGAGTTCTCAAGTTTGGTACCCTCGGCTTTGGAAGAAAAAAGAATGGGAATGAGATTTAAGACATAAGACATGAAAGAACCAAAAGACATGAAAGAACAAAAGACATGAGAGAACAAGATAGTGAACTTAGATCTAATAGACAAACACTTAATGAAGTCTAGCCAAGTATTAAGACAAGATTGTAGAGCTAATAAACCAACAGCAGGCTGTTTAGACTTGTTACCTTGTTGGATGGTAAAAAAAACCAGCAAATCAAAGAAATTTAGCTCAACGACATTATAAAGTTGTAAGACAAAGATTATGCACGAACAAGGTAAGTATAACATTCGTGTAATATGAAAACTAACAGATTCTGATTTTTGCAGGTATGTGACTTTGAGTAGATTTCAAGTGTAGCAGACTTCTTGACAGGTATATGCTTTCCAAGCCTTTACGTTTTTTTGTTCGTAATTAGTTGATATAACTATGAAAAATCACAAGTGAGAGACACATAAATTCTCAGGTAAGATGTTGATAGTCTCATGGATATGTCAGCTCTTTTTTATCTGGCTTTTGTTTCTTCTTATCAGGCGAACACGGTGGCTACTTTTGCGAGGTTGACTAAGGAGGATTCTAGGAAGCTTTTGTCTTCGAAATTTCATCCTTCATGGGTTGTGTTTTTCTGAAGTTAAGTTACCAGCTTCTTTCTTGCGTATACATTTATGTGTTTGCATCGACTTACATAGCGTTCTCTTGTATTTACTCAGTTGACTTGGCCAAGCCACCACTTGACAAAGTTATGGTTTTATGTTGATAAGGTATGTTAGGCTGTTCTAAATTCATAGTGAGCAATATATGTAATTTGTATTATGGAGAAGATACTGTTTCTAATGGATGTATTTATAACTATCAGAGTCTAAACTTATAAGCCTGTTCTCGAGAAATCCATAGTATTGACTAATTTTGATTTGCTTCAGGTAAGTGCTTTGAAAGATGTTGATATTCTCATTGATGCCATGGAGATTTTGTAAGTGTAGCAGAACTTAATAGCATAACTATCCTTGATCTATCCTGTCAAATTATAGAAACTTATCTGACTTTTACCATTGTCTTTTTTTCTAGGTTACATACACCAGATATTATTTCCAAAAATGTATGATTTGGCAGTGGAATTGATTCTGAGAGGTCATGGTTGTGTTGATCATCAAGTTAAATCAATTTAAACTGTCTGAGATATAGATTCCTGTTTCTTTTTCCAGTTAATTGTCATTCTTTAGCTATACTAGTGCAACTTACTCAACACATGAAACTTACTTATACTTTCAGATGCAGAGGAGATAAAAGAGTATAGAGAGAAGAAAATGAACAACTTGTAGGGACATGCCTATTGAAGAATCTCTAAAACTATTTGACGAAATGAGACAATGAATGATTGAGGAGGGAAAGGCAAGATATGCAGAGTGAAATTTTTAACATGTATGACCTTATTGGCTATTGAATAAAGGCAAGTGAAACTAAAATCATCTCTGGTTACATGTAAGAATTAGTCTCTCTCTTATCTTTTGCTGTCTGAACTTTCTATATATATGCTTTGCAGTTCAACCCTCATCCTAAGGCTGGTGAATGCTGCATTTGGTATGCCCCTTTCTAGGTCTTTTGGCTATTTTCCAACATGAAATAGTATAACTCTTACAACTTTCAGTATAAAACTATCCCTTAAGTATCTAAAGTATCTTCTGTTCTTAAAACTATCTTTGTTGTTTTGATCTTTCTTTTATTTTCATAATTGTAGCTATGTAATCTTGCATTTGGAACCTGGTGTGCTTCAAAAACTGTAAGCGTGTAAGGTAAAATACTCAACTAGCATGTGACAACTTCGAGCATTTTATGCAGATATTCATGTTGTTTGTGGTATCATTTTTCTTTTCTTTTGCTGTTGTTAGATTACATTGTGACAAACAAATCTGTTCATCATTGGGATGATCCACGTTTTTTTGACACTTGCTGATTTAAGGCGGAGAGGTTCGACTTTAAGTGTGACTCTGTGAGTAATACTCTGCTTGGCATATGTCAATTATCTTCATTAAATGTGCTCTCTGTTGTTGTATGTTGAAGTAATGGTAGTATGATACATGTGAGTTGTCTTGAGCATCATATTAGAGAGCAGTTGAACAAAATAGCTCTAATCCTCTTAAGGTGCTCTTAGGTTATGGAACTTGATGCACATACATACGATAGAACATTTTTTCTGTTTTATTAGCTCGTAATTCTATTCATCTAAGGTATAGAAAGGGACACTATTCATCATTATTACTTTTTTTTTTTGTTAAAATGATTTATTTGTGGATAAATGTGCTTTCTTCTTTCAGATATGCTTTCCAGTTAAGTGTATATTGTGCTTTCTTCTTTACATGAGCATATTGTGTGTTTTCTCAGTTTCAAGATCATAAAAAGTGTTTCCGTTTCTACATGAGCATAATGTGTGTTTTAATTATTTTATTCTCCAAGTTTCAATGCTTTTGTATCATAAGGTCTCTTATCCTATATAATGTATGCATATTAGAGTCTCTTATGGATATTTATTTTGACATATGTGTAACTTCTATAGTATTTGATCTTGAAACTGAGAACACACAATATGCTCATGTAGAAACACGTTAAATCTTGAAAGTATTTGTTTTGTGTTAGGCACTAAACCTCTGCTGATTGTTTTAAACATGTGAATGACATACTGGAATTTTGTATCATGCATTGAGAAAAGGTTGATTTTACTTTGACTGTGGAACATTACATTATGTGTTTAAAATACTTATTATCTCTGTTTTTTGGTGTTTGAATGTATGATAAATATTATTATTTTCTGAAAGAGATGCATCTTTGAGGTTTCATGTAGACACATATTTTTAGATATATGTGATGGTATTGCACATTATGGTAATACTGAATCTCGAAACCCTTGGTGTTAGTGTTCTAAGCTTGTGAAACCGCTTTTTTGGAATGATGCATTATCAACTAATGATTATTGTGGTAGATTCTATATATTGTAAACTTGGTTTGCGTCTTGAGTCTTTACTATTCATTCAATAATTTGTATTGTTGTTTGTTTGTGTGAAGTGGACAATTTGAATTTCAATGTTAGTTTTGTTGAAAACAGTTTTTTCTGTATTTGTTTTAGCTTTGTTCATTATTTCTTAATCGAATTTTGCATTTTGCATCTTGGAATAGTTAGCAACTTGGCATGGTAAACTTATTAAATTTCAATATGTAATATCTATTCTTGTATGTCCATCATACATTGATATATCATATATGTAGCAATGTCTATGATTGATTATGAGTATGCATGGAGGATGTAGATATGAATTATTATCTTAGTTATCTTAATAGCATAATTACCCTTGATCTATCCTGTCAAATTCTAGAAACTTATTGTAGAAATTCTAGACAAAATGTTGATTTTACTTCTGTGAGGCAGAGAAGGAAGAGTGTATTAATCATTGGTAACTGCATTGTTATAATTTTAGTGTGTTTGAATTCATCTGACTTTTACCATTGTCTTTTCTCCTAGATTACATACACCAAAAATTATTTCCAAGAACTGTATGATTTGGCAGAGGAATTGATTCCGAGAGGTCATGGTTATGTAATATCATCAAGTTAAATCAATTTAAACTTGTATGATTTATTGCTTCTATCAGTCGTCATAAGAGAAGATAACCTTCTTAGAGCAGAGTCCGCCAAGCATAGGTACCTCCTGTTTTTTCAGATTTGGTTTGGTCTCCAAATCATCATCATCTTCTTCTTCATCATCACCTTCATCATCTTCATCTTCTTCTTCTTCTTCTTCTTCTTCTTCTTCTTCTTCTTCTTCTTCTTCTTCTTCTTCTTCTTCTTCTTCTTCTTCTTCTTCTTCTTCTTCTTCTTCTTCTTCTTCTTCTTCTTCTTCTTCTTCTTCTTCTTCTTCTTCTTCTTCTTCTTCTTCTTCTTCTTCTTCTTCTTCTTCTT